TTTCAAAATGCAAACTAAAGAAGCGGAAAACTTTTATTCAAAATAAATTTTAGAAGAATTTGAAGTCAGGGAATGATTTGGTGAAATATTATGTTCCCAACTATTCTAAAATAAAACAAAAATACTTAAAAAAAACCGGTAACACAGCTATTAGCTGCTAAGATAAGACTGATTTTGGCAAATGAGATCCGCTTTAAGAAAAGAGAGGGCGGGTGGGCGGGGCAAGTATCTGCTAAGATAAGATCGATTTTGGCAAATGACATATCCTCTAAGAAAAGGGAGGGTCGGTGGGCGGGGCTAGTACCTGGTAAGATAAGACTGATACTTATTTGTTTTGATTAATTGCAAGGAAAGTTCAATATTATATCAACAATTTATTATAAAGTGTTATATTTGTTGTAATAACAATAATTTTTCATCAAAAAGTACATTTTTTCTTTATTTAAAAAATATCTTTTTTTTAGAAATGGGACACTTATTTTTGAATAAAATTTATTTTCAAATTGGACACTTAATTTGAGACAGGGGGAGTAATATTTTACAGAGAAGCAGAATTTGTCAAACTACTCTTCAAGGGAGACTGAAAAACTTTTTTTAAGAATGTGAAACCTTCTAGGGGGTCCTAACTTTTTTTAAACATCTGAAACCTCGCCGGCCCTAACTGTTGTAAAATCTTCGAGGGCCCCAAATGTCTTTTCTTTAACAAGCTAAAACTTTCTCGGGGCCCCCACCAGTCTTTGTTTTAATGTGAAACCTTCTCAGGGACCCCAACTGATTTTTTAAGAATGTGAAACCTTCTAAGGGGCTCCAACATTTTTTTTTAAGAATGTGAAACCTTCTAGGGGCCCGAGCTTTGTTTTTAAATGTGAAACCTTCTCGGGGCCCCCAACTGGTTTTATTTCATGTGAAACCTTTTGAGGGGCTCCAACAATTTTTTTTAAGAATGTGAAACTTTCTCGGAGCCCCCAACTGCCTTTTATTTAATGTGAAACCTCCTCAGGGACCCAAACTGTTTTTCTTTAAGAATGTGAAACCGTCATGGGAGTCCCAACTGCTTTTTTTTAAGAATGTGAAACCTTCTCAGGGGCGCCAACGGTTTTTTTTAAAGGATGTGAAACCTCCTCAGGTGTCCCAACTGTTTTTTTTTTAATGTGAAACCTTTTCGGTATCCCCAACTGTCTATTATTTAATGCGAAACCTTCTCAGGGGTCCCAATTCTTTTTTTTTTAATGTGAAACCTTCTCGGGGCTCCCAACTGTCTATTATTTAATGTGAAACCTTCTCAGGGGCCTCATTTGTTTTTCTTTAAGAATGTGAAACCTTCTCGGGATCCCTAGCTGTCTCTTTTTTTCATGTGAAGCCTTCTCAGGAGAAGCCAACGTACTTTTTAAAGGATGTGAAACCTTCTCCGGGGTCCCAACTGTTTGTTTTTAATACGAAACCTTCTCAGGGGCGCCAACGTTTTTTTTTAAAGGATGTGAAACATTCTCAGGGGTCCCAGTTGTTTTTTTTAATGTGAAACCTTCTCTGGGCCCCCAACTGTCTATTATTTAATGTGAAACCTTCTCAGGAGCCTCAACTGTTTTTCTTTAAGAATGTGAAACCTTTCCAGGGGTCCCTATTGCTTTTTTTTTAAGAGTGTGGAACCGTCAAGGGGGTCCCAACTGCTTTTCTTTTAAGAATGTGAAACCTTCTCAAGGGTCCTAACTGTTTTGTTTTTAATATGAAACTTTCTCGGGGACCCCAACTGTCTTTTTTTAATGTGAAACCTTCTCAGCGGCGCCAACGGTTTTTTTAAAGGATGTGAAACCTTCTCAGGGGTCCCTATTGTTTTTCTTTTAAGAGTATGAAACCGTCAAGGTGGTCCCAACTGCTTTTCTTTTAAGAATGTGAAACCTTCTCAGGGGCGCCAACGGTTTTTTTAAAGGATGTGAAACCATCTCAGGGGTCCCAACTGTTTGTTTTTAATGCGAAACCTTCTCAGGGGTCCCAGTTGTTTTTTTTTTAATGTGAAACCTTCTCGGGGCCCCCAACTGTCTATTATTTAATGTGAAACCTTCTCAGGGGCCTCAACTGTTTTTTTTAATGTGAAATCTTCTCGGGGCCCCCAACTGTCTTTTTTTAATGTGAAACCTTCTCAGCGGCGCCAACGGTTTTTTTAAAGGATGTGAAACCTTCTCAGGGGTCCCTATTGTTTTTTTTTTTAAGAGTGTGAAACCGTCAAGGTGGTCCCAACTGCTTTTCTTTTAAGAATGTGAAACCTTCTCAGGGGTCCTAACTGTTTTGTTTTTAATATGAAACTTTCTCGGGGACCCCAACTGTCTTTTTTTAATGTGAATCCTTCTCAGGGGCTCCAACTGTTTTTTTTAAGGATGTGAAATCTTCTCAGGGGTCCCAATTGTTTTTTTTTAATGTGAAACCTTCTCGGGGCCCCCAACTGTCTATTATTTAATGTGAAACCTTCTCAGGGGCCCCAACTGTTTTTATTTAAGAATGTGAAACCTTCTCGGAAGCTCCAACTGTTTTTTTTTTAAGAATGTGTAATTTTCCCGGGAACCCCAACTATCTTTTTAAAAATTGTGAAACCTTCTCGGGACCCCAATTGTGTTTTTTAAATAAAATGTAAATTTCTTTTTTTCTCTTAGGTACACTGTGATATATTTAAACTTGATTTATTTTTTTTAATATATAAAGTTTTCTTTCAACAACATAATAGTTAAACATGTTTTCAATTTCGTGTTTGGAAAAAAAGACTTCGTACATTAAGAAAAAAAATGGCAAAATAGAAGCCCCGCCCACCCACCCCTTCTCAATTGTGATGAATTTTTTATTCATCGTGAGCTGAAGTGTGAAGGTTAGTTGCAAAATCCTCATTTCTCTACAAGAAATTATCATATGAAATATGTTTTTAAAAAGGTAGAATTTTCTAGAGAAATATTGATGTTACAATTAAACTCCGCCTATCGGTCTGACAACGAATGAAAAACGCATCACAAATGAGAGCGGGGCGGATGGGTGGGGCTTTATCTTTGTTTGTTTATTTATTTATTTATTTTTTTAATATATAAAGTTTTCTTTCAACAACAGGATATATCACATTGTTTTTACTCCATAGAGATTATCACAAAAAAGTAAAATTTCCCAGAATCAAATTTTATAATTTTTTAAAGAAGCAGTATTTGGACTGTACTTCAGAGACGGGGGAAGTTCTCCCGAAATAACTTTTGACCATTTTTTTTGCCAGATGACAACTCTAACTTCATTCGCTCCACCCATTTCAAAGTCACTAGTGTAGTGGTGCCCAAACTTTTTTAAAAAACAGACGTTTAATAACAATCTATCCGGAAAAGCACGCAAGTTTTCAAAGAATTCACACAACAATAAGCTAAAACCTAGAAAAATGGAGCTGTCACTGATAACCCGATGTCATTTCCACTCACCTTTGTTCCCATTGTGTAAAAACCTCAAGCCTCCACGCAAAATAAATTCGATTTCACTTATTTGCATGAATTTTCTCCTAGTTTTCCACTTTTAACGTCCCCAAGGACCTACTTTCTCAAGTTAACTCACCCCTGTCCAAACCCGCACCACGTCCCAAATTTCCGGGGCATACCTAAGCCGGGTCAAATTTATCTGGCCATTACTTTCCGGGAATTCGACGACCATACGTCTAAATCACCAATTGCCGTTGATGTGTCCTCTCCGCTTTTGTCCTCCAAGTCCATTTTGTTTCGCGCTGGCATACAACAAAAATCCACTTTCACACTCGAACTGTTTTATTATGAGAACATTTACGAGGCCGTTTTCAGAAACGTGGGGAATTTATTTCCGGAGCTTCGACAACAATTCGATTAGACGACAACGTTTAGTCAGGTGCCGATGGAATTACGTTCTGCAAACGACCGCGATGGGAATATACAGGATGTCGTCACGCCAAATCGAAGGAAGAGAAAAGAAAGCTGTCAATTTTGTTTATATATTGTTGTCAGTAGTGATGATGAATTATTAAGGCGATTATTGCTGCGTTTAGCGTAGCAACGGCCTTAAAAAACGATGTATAACTTTTAGTAGTTTCATTTCCTTGTTGGTCCCTTTCCGTGTGGTCCATCAGCAGCACCTCAACCACTATCCGATTACAAGCGTCTCGTTAGCAGCCCGTGGAATGTAATCCAAAGAAAAAAAATACTCTTACTTGGGCTTTCGTGATGGCTGTATAATACCAGGAAAAATCCTTGAACCCGTCGGTCCGTGTGAATCCGTCTCCGATCGACATAATTAGAGGTGTAAAAACGTCCATCAGGGCATCAGCACCATTTAGACAAATGGTCGTAGTGTTCGGAAACCATCCGAAGAATTCCCAAAAAATTCAATATTAAGTACAAGATTACAGTTTAAAACATTAAGTCATAGTCACACTGCTGTAGGTGAAACCGAGTCGAAGGTGCAGTCGTTCGAACGGAATAAGTGACGGTTGGAACCCTTTAATCAGAATGAACACCGCGATGGTCCAATGTCGGCATCGGCCCTCAAAGGCACCGTATTAGTCACACCTGCCAGTTACTACCAGCTAGCCAACAGGCCCCGGTCAGCCAAACAGAATGATTTGGCGATATCATTAATAATAATAATACTCCTGCTCGAACCACTTGTCTTTATTCATTTGCATTATTACAACGGGCTGAGAGCAGTCTTCGGAAATTATTGCCCACACACGTCACGGCAAGAAGAAGAGGGGAAGCGCCGCGGTTTAAAAAAATCGCACCGCCTCACTCCAACCGCCAACAATATTTCCTGTAATAACGCACACCAAAAAAAAACACATCAAAACATAAAATAGACATTTCAGTACTGTCGACTCAACAATAGAAACTTGCAGCGCTTCCCCTCTTCTTCATTCAACCCGACTTATAGACATATAAACAAAAAACACTAGTGTTTTTGCAACAAATCTAATTCTTTTTTTAATTTTCGACACTTTTTAAGTATTTTTTCGTTTCCAGACGGCCAGAACCACCTCAACCTCTTCAACAACCGGCAGCAACCCAAGAAGAAGCGGAAATCGCGGACGGCCTTCACCAACCACCAGATCTTCGAACTGGAGAAAAGGTTCCTCTACCAAAAATACCTCAGTCCGGCCGATCGGGACGAAATCGCGTCCAGTCTGGGCCTGACCAACGCGCAAGTGATCACGTGGTTCCAGAACCGACGGGCCAAGCTCAAGCGGGACATGGAAGAACTGAAGAAGGACGTGGAAAGTGCGAAACTCCTCACCGCGCATAAAAGTTTCCTCGAGAACGTGCAGGATTTGGGCATTTTGAAGAAAAAAGCGGTGATTAGTGAGGACGACTGTCCGAAAAATTTGGTCGTGACGTCGGATAAGTAGTTGGTTAGTGTTTAGGGTAGCGGAACATTGATGACTGGTGAAACTGGTCGAGTGTAAATAATGTAAATAGACTGATTGTGTTTGTAAAAGTTGTAAGATATCATGGTAATGATGTAATTAGGTAATTTATTGATTTTGCGTCTTTTCGACGGGTATTTGCAATATTTTAATATACCTACTGTGTATTATAGAGAGCTTTAGTACTTACTTCGATTGTCCTAGCGTCAATGTGGATGAAAATAAAGTATTCGAAACGTCGGAACGTGTGTTTTATTCACGATTTTTGGAAAGCAGTGACAGTCCTCGGTAAAAATAAATTAGTGAAGAAAAATATAAATGGGCGGAGAAGAGGCGGAGTAGAACAATGTGGGAAGTAGGCGGAGCTCCCATTGTCCAATCGTAACACGTTAAGAAACCAATCATTCATTATTTATTAAATACTTAGATATTTCATTTGCATAACAAGTAACACGAAATCCAGGTGCGAAATTTCACTAAATTTTGAAGCACCTAACGCATTAAATAGAATAAGATTTCACAAATCTCGCCAATCCCCGTCCAGGTAACTCGAACCTACCGACAAAGAGCCCGAGATTGATGATCCAGTAGTTCTCCATTAGCGTGGTAGGAATTTATTGTTATAGTCTGTAGGATTTTAATTTCAGTTTCCATTTCACGTTTCCACTTGCATATACATCAGCTGTCATTTCCGGCTGTCACTGGTGATTATCTTTGCAATTGCTTCTGATATGAAGCAATTTGACGTCGGAAGGGCAAAAAATTCAGCTAATATCTAAATACGGTTCTGTCAAAAAGGAGCGGTTTCCGTTCGCTCTTGCGCTCTTATTACTTGTGCTAATAATAATTGCTAACGACTTCCTATCACGTGCTGCATCAGTAATAGATTAGTTGTTGGGGCAATTAAAACGACTGCAAAACATTTTAAATCCAACGTTTTGCATAAAATGCGCGATAAGCGCTAGAGGCATTAAGATAGAATTGTCAAATGGTGATAACGCGTGACGTCACGAAAGTCAGGTCGTGACCAATGCGCATAGTACAGGAGATAATTAGCACCGTGTCAGATATTAATAAGCAATTGCATAAAAAACGTTCTTTCGTGTCTGTCCATCTTGAGTGACAGGTCGGGAACAACCCTCAACAGCCACAAAAAATTTATTACAACCCCCACTACGCACTTCATGACGACATGACTAATATCCCGCATTGCCTTGACCTTTGGTGACGTCACACGTACACAGCGAATAATAAATATCAGTGTCTCCACACAAGAATCTTTGAGCAACACTTCATTTCCATCTATTAAATCAAATCGGCAATAACTTAGTCGGTTGCCGCCCTTTATGCAAATGCAGAATTGAAATTCGTCTGAGTGCCAACACTTTGTTTGACATAATGTGACATTTTTGCTAGGGGTCGGAGCCCTTTTGTGGTTCCGAAATCGCGTCAGTAGGTGTTCGCGGCAACCGAAATTAGAGAGCGGCTCGAGGGTATAATTTGAAACGATCAACTCGTGCCCATTTGTCTAGTTATGTCGTTATCTGGACTAATGACAGGCTCCCATCTCTAATTGCGATATAAGACACCGCCAAAGGTGAGACCACCCTTAACCCGTCGTCGTTTAAGACGGAACAGGGGGAAAAAATTTGATTGGGACACATGCTGGGAGTGGACATGAGAGAGAAAAAATTGGGGGTTTTATTAGGTATAATCATAGTGCCTTTACACTATTTTTGGCTATTTTATAATTCGAATAAATTGTCGGAATGACAGGGTAGGCTCAAATGACAGAAAAAAGCTACTTTAATGATGGGTTAAACCTAAAAAAACACTTACATTTTTTATTGTGGCACCTTCTGCCAAAACCTTGACTTACATACACGGAATTCTAGAAAGATTTAAGAGCAAAATTTTGCCTTCATCTAATTTTGTTTTTTTTTTAATTTGAATGAATCAGAAATAATCCTCTTGTGTGTTATTATTTCGCTCGCCTTCCCGGGCACAATAAAACCTCTTTAATACCACTCATCGGCTACAATCCTCGAAATAAACTTGGAAAAGAAATTAAATACACTCGTTAACACTAATTATGCGCGATATAAATTAGCATTTTAATGAAAAACAAAACTAGTTATGTTTTTGTCGGTATCCGAACGTACTTAAATTTTAAAATATATCCGCACGTAACCGGTAGACCAAACATAAATTTCCACTTAACTCGGCTCCTTTTTTAATAAATTTAATTAAAAAGCGGGAGCTAATCGTAATTTATGAAAATCAACGAACGTTTTTACGACTCCCTCTCATCATCCCGCTCCGAATTTTTAATTTTCCCACACGTCACGTGACGCGGATTTATATGCGCGCAGCGCGACATGGGCAGGACAGTGGCGTCTCGTCAGGCTAAGAACAGATTTCTTTTTTATAATTTATTACGTGAATAAAACAATTTAGTTTTTAGTGTGTACATCCCTTTTCGAATTAAAAAAAAAAAACACCAGAGATCCCTAAGAATTTTTCGAATTTTCTCAGAAATAGAATGTCAGGAATTTTTTTTTAAAATAGAACCATAAAAGCCCTCAAGAATTTTTCACATTTTTTTGAAAAATGACACTAGAAATTCCGAAGTTTTTCTAATAAAAAAAATAAATAAATGAAACATCAGAGGCCGCCAAGATTTTTCAAATTACTTATTGAAGAAAAATAATACACTAGGAATCTCCAAGATTTTTTCAAACATTTTCAAAAGCAAAACACTAGAAATCTTCAAGATATTTTTGACTAGGAGTCCGCAAGATCTTTCGATTTTTTTATAAAATAAAACACCAGATTTTCCGAAATTTGTTGACACTCTTCAAAACATGACACTAGGATTCTCTAAGTTTCCTTCAAAATCTTCGAAAACAAAAGAGCAGGAGTACCTACTCAAGATCTTTCCGGATTCTTAAAAAAATAAAACATCAAGACTTTTTGACATTAAAACAAATACCTACTCTAGCTTTCTAAAAAAAACACCAGGAGCCACCAAAGGAATTTTTCACAATATTTCCAAAAAAAAAGACACATGGGGTTCTCAAGACCTTTTCAAGCTTTTTCAAAAACAACACAACGAGAAGCCCTCAAGATTTTTTTTATTTAAAAAAATAAAACACAAGTGTTCCCGAATGCTTTTGAAATTTTTCGAAAAAAATGCATTAGTATTCTCCTAGTCATCTTCAAACTCTTCAAAAACTTCAATCTTTGCCAAGAAAGACTGATTTTGGCTAATGAGATCCTTCTAAGAAAATAGAGGGCGGGTGGGCGGGGTTCGTACCAGCTAAGATAAAACTGATTTTCGCAAATGACATATCCTCTAAGAAAATGAAGGGCAGAGGGTATATCATTTGCCACAATCAGTCTTATCTTGTCAAATATTGGCCCCGCCCACCCACCCTTTATTTTCTTCGTAGGTATGTCATTTGTCAAAATCAGTCTTATTTTAACAAGTACCCTTTCAAATTCTGTAAAAAGTAAAACACCAAAAGTCCACAAAAATGTTTCGCGTTCTTTAAAAAAAAGACTAAGAATCCCAAAACTTCTTTCAAACACTTTAAAAAATAAAACACTAGAGGCTCCCAGGATTTTTTCACACTATTTCCAAAGAAAAGCTACGAGTTCATAAGATTGTTTTCAAACTTTTTCAAAAACAAAACACGAAAAGCTCTCAAGATCTTTTTAATCTTCAAAAAATAAAACACCAAGGTCTCCGAAATTTGTTGAAATTCTTCAAAAAATGACATTAGGTTCCTTCAAGTTTTCTTCAAACTGTTCAAAACAGACCACCAAGAGCCGTTAAGATCCTTTCGAATTCTTTAAAAAATAAAACACCATGGAGCCTCGTGTTTTGTTCAGTTCACATTTTTTCAAAAAAAAAAAAAAAATGTGTAACAATTCTTTTAAAAACAGAACCCCAGTAGCCCTCAAGATCTTTTCGTATTCTTAAAAAAATAACACACCCAGATTTTTTGACATTAAAAGAAATACACTAGATTTTCTACAACTTCTACAAAAAAAAAACACCAGGAGCTCCCAAAATACATTTTCACAATATTAAAAAAAAAGACACAAGGAGTTCTCAAGATTTTTTCAAACTCTTTCAAAAACAAAACACGAAAAGCCCTCAAGATCTTTTTGTATTAAAAAAAAAATAAAACACTAGTGTTCTCGACCTTTTTTGAAATTTATCGAAAAAATGCATTAGGATTCTCCAAGCGTTCAATAAACTCTTCAAAAACAGAGCACTAGGAGCCCTTAAGAACCTTTCAAATTATTTAAAAAAAAAACACCAAAAGTCCACGAAAAGTTTTCACGTTCTTTAAAAAAAGTTTCTAGGAATCCCAAAACTTCTTTCAAACGCTTTAAAAAATAGAACAGTAGAGGCTCCCAGGATTTTTCCACATTATTTCCAAAGAAACGGCACAAGGAGTTAACAAGATTTTTTTCAAACTTTATCAAAAACAAAACACCATGGGGCCTTGAAGATCTCTTCGATATTTTTTTTAAATAAAACATCAAGAGACCTCAAAAACTTCTTCTGAATATTTAAAAAAAGATACTAGGGATACCGCAGCTGCTTTCAAACTCTTTAAAAAATAAAACACTAGAGCCTTCCACGATTTTTTCATGAAATTAAAAAAAAAGACGTCAAGAATTTCCCAGAATTTTTCAAATTGTTTCAAAAACAGAACACAAGAAGCCCTAAAGATCTTTTTAAATTTTTTATTAAATAAAATACCAGGGTCTCCGAAATTTGTTGAGATTCTTCAAAAAAAGTACTATGATACTCCAAGATTTCTTCAAAGTCTTCAAAAACGCAGCACCAGGAGCCTTCAAGATCTTTTCGAATTATTAAAAGAATAAAACTTCAAGAGTCTCCAAGATTTGTTCAAGTTTATAAGAAAGACACAGAGGTCTTCGACTTTCTATTAAATTCTTCAAAAACAAGAGAACATGAGCCCTCAAGATCTTTTCAAATTCAAAAATAATCATAACAATACAACGTAAGCCCCCACGATTTGTATAGATTCTTTAGAAAAAGACGCTAAAAATTCTCAACAATTTTTCAAACTCTTTCAAAAACGGAACATTAGGGGATTTCAAGATTTTTTTGTATTCTTTAAAATGTAAAACACTCAGAGGCCTTAAGAATGTTTCCATTATTAAAGAAAGACACTAAAAGCCCCCAAGAATTTTTCGAA